GGGCTGAAGTATACAGGCTGGAAATATCTTGTTTTGGCCAAATTACAGGTATTTTAAAACTATATTTTAACTATTTTTAGACAAATATGGAAATTTTCAGGAAATAGGACGATATAATATTTATTCATAACTAGAGTTTTAAAAGAATCGTGCTTTTAAAAGTTCTTTTTAAAAAAAAGTGCAAATTATCTGTATTTTCGATAATTCCTTAAGTGCACTGAAAATTGATTGTTCGGGCAAAATATTATTATTTTTATACTTTTCTTTAAGTTTCTTTAGAGAAATATGGGCATTTTCAAAAAAATAACATGCGTGTATTTTAACAAACCAGGATTAAAAAAGTGCCATTTAAAAAAAAATCGCAAATTGCCAGTTCTATTGTTTCTTCAATATATGCGGACAATATTAATTCAACAATGCGAACGATATTAGTTCCAAAATTTCTACAAGCATATTTTTGAGAACATATAAAAATCATATTTTTTGCAGAAGGAATGTTCGTTCAGTCGTGTTAGATTATGAAATCATTACTTCTTGATCAATTTATTACAAGACTGCAGCATCTAATTTTTTTATGCTCCATAAATGTTTTTTTATTACATTGAACGCAAGCAGGCATATACATTTTATAGTTTTTTTTACAACAATACTTTCTTACAAGCTCGGTGTTTGCGAAAACAAGTTGTAAACATACATAAATCGCATTCAATACAAATCAGGTTAGCGTCAGCATCAAAGTGATTACAACTGGGAAGTTATTAAAGAAATCAAACTCACGCATTTGTTACACAATTGCGTAAACGCAATCATGCGCAGCCTATATTAAAAAAAGTGAATGGATTAAGAATTCGCCCTCTATAAGAGACTGCGGCATTTAAAAAAAAAATGCAAATGAACAGGTAAGTATGTGGACGTTGAGTAGACTTGAGGAGGAGGTCAATTCAAGATGAAGGTAGTACCTGTTTCTTTGAAGACGGTGGCCTTACTGGGGGATAAAAGAGGAGTATTTGAACACAATGGCGGATCAGGTAAAATTGACCTGAACTTGAAGAGGTAGTCCTAGGTACTAAGTTCTGTTTAATTCCGTTTCCTCTACCCAGCATTAAAAAAAAAAGTTTGCTGCCAAAAACATATTTTCTAAGGTTATCCGCCTACTATTTGTTGTCAAATGCACTTGGAACCTTCTTCCGTTGCAAAAACACTCAAAGCTCCACTCTCTTATCACTTAGTGCCTTCATTCACTGAGAACTCTAAAACTTAATTATGTGACAAAATGAATAAATGATGGAAAGCGAAGCAAAACTAAACTAAGTTTTTTTCTTTCCTCGAAAAATCTTAAATTTTTAAAATTAATTCTTTAAAATCTTTTTCACTTAAGCTTTTTTACTAATTCCTGTTATTAGCGTTCCTGTACAAAAGCGTCTTAGTTTATATTATAGCAGGAATCGACAATCTTAAAGGGATTCGGGATGCAAAAATCTTTTTTGCTTTTGTAAAACAACGCAATTACTTCTTTTTTTTTTAATTGTTGAGAGGAGAGAAAGTTGAAATTTATCGAATCTTAAAATATTTAGTTTCGTTTTTCAATGAACTTAAATTTATATTGAAACTTTGAAGAGGAATCCTAAAAATCTCCTTTAGTATACAATTCCAGAATTGTATACTAAATAATTAAAATATTTAGTTTCGTTTTTCAATGAACTTAAATTTATATTCAAACTTTGAAGAGGAATCCTAAAAATTTCCTTTAGTATACAATTCCAGAATTGTTTTAATTCTATTTAATTTTTAATTGAAATTATTTTTTAGAAAGCGATCGATAAAGAGCGAAATGGTTGCCTTGCAGCGTTTTCTTTTTTTAATGATGTTTATTTATTTTGATGGTGTATGACAGAGCCAGCAGAACCTCCAACATTTTAAGTTATGATAAAAAAAAAAAATTTTTTTTCTTCTTTTAAATATGCGATTAGCTAAAGTAGCGTTAGCTATTTGGGGCTTCGCAAAAAATTTAAAATTTATGTTGTTTGGTATATGTCTGCACTTAAATTTTTGGATTTCTCCTTTTATTCTATTTAGGCACCTTTTAAACTCGAAGCACTAGGGTGGCCTAGTATCTTAACAAAGAGACAGTAACTTGTGTTTTTCTACTTAATTTACAATGAGAAAATAATTTAGAATAACTGTTCTTTCCATAACAAGATATTCATGTCTAAAGTCAGTTTCTTTTGCTCTTTTATTTGTAACAGATATGATAGTTTCGCATTCCGAAAAATGTAATATGTGTTTTTTTAAGAAAAAAGAAGAAAAAAAACCCCTTTAGTAATCCATTTCTCTTAGGGAGTTGCATGTCATTTTCCAGACACAATTGGGTACTTGCAACTCGAGAAGTAGAGATGTAATCACGTCTAACCCTGTGATTTAAATCAGATTTAATTGGAACCTGTAAGCCATGTCACACGAGTGCGTCGAACTTGATTGGCTTCTGAATCGACAAATGCCAAGATTTACCTACGATGACGTCACTTGCGGGTATTCAATTCTATAACAGTTACAAAGTAACTGTTAAAAAATACTGACCACTTCTACCAAATATGAGTCACAGTTATGAAACCGAACTGCATTACATTTTATTGTATAATTTATTCTAATTTCCTTTACAGCTGATTAACTCCTTGACGTCAAAGAAAAAAATAATTCAAACTCGTTTTGAAATGTCAATCTCTGTGTGACGCCAATGTGCTTATCTCGTTGACTTACAGTGGGTGTGATCCAGTTCGTAACACAAGCTCTGCATTCCAAATTAGGCTCTTCTGCCTTTCCAATTTCATTCTGAACTTTTTTTAAATGGAATTCTTATCTTACTTCTAATAACTTTCACTCTGAGTCACGAATTTTTATGTAAAAAGAAAAGAGCTGGAAATATTATTTTGTTGTCACAAACTTGAAAACTTTAGTTTTGTTAATTGATCATTTTTGGAAAAACAACTAAAGCATTTTTGAGGGAGAGCACTTTCGCTTGGCTTTCCTTTAATAGCCAAATTAAACACTTCTGGCTTATTTATAATTTGACTTCATTCTCGTGAATTCTTGTATTTCGTTTAAACATTTCCGTGCTGAATTATGAGTTTTATGTTCAAAAGTTGCTAGTTGCTTTCTTATAAAATTAAAAGCTATTATGATAGAAAAACAATTTAAAACACTTTTGAGAGAACTTTCGACTTCTTTTATCTGTTAAATTTTAGCACTTCCACCTTTAATTTAACTTCATTTTCGTGAATTCTTGTATTTCTTTTAAACATTTCCGTGCTGAATTATGAGTTTTATGTTCAAATATTGCTAGTTGCTTTCTCATAAAATTAAAAACTATTATGTTAGAAAAACAATTTAAAACACTTTTGAGAGATCTTTCATTGGGATTTCTTTTGTTTGTCGAATTAATATTACACTTTAATTTAATATCATTGTGGAGAGTTATTATATTTTAAGCACTTCCATATCATACAAAATAAAACTAATAATCGATTTTATATTATAGACATTTTTGTTAACAAAATTCTAGTTGATTTCTCTTGAAATTAAAAGCATAAAATTAAGAACGAATTAAAACACTTTTGAAAGAACATTTGTTTGGCTTTTTCGTTGTTTTATTTGTTGAATTTGACACTTTTAATGAATTTTAGGTAAAAAAAATGTAATGCAAACATATTGATTCTTTCTCATAAAATGTAACGCTAAAACGTTGAAAAAACGTGTTACATAATGGACTTTTCAACTCTAATTCAATATTTTTCTCCTGAATTGTTATAACTCTTTTAAAGTAATTTTTAAAACAACTACACTTAGTTAATGTTATCGACAAAAATTTCTATTATGCAGATTCTGTCTCATAAAATTAAGAGTTTTAATGTTGGCAATTGACTGTTTCTGGAAAGAAAAGAAAAGTGTTTTTGTAAAAATTTTCGTTTGGCGTTATTTTATTCATCAATTTAAGTACTTTTCATATTCCATCTTAACTTTAAACTCATTATTTCTGATACTTCTTCCAAAAACATTCAGAATGAGTCAAGATTAGCATGAACAAAAAATTAAAAATACGTAGTTTATCGCTCATAAAATTAAAACTTAATTATCAGTAACAAAAAAAATTTTTAATAATTTCCTGTCTAAATTTTCCCTGCAGTGAAATATCAAAAGCATAAATTAAACTGATTTCAAATAGGCTAATTGTTAATTAATTTAAATTTTGCTTTAATTATTTTCTTTTAATTAGTTTGGTTTTGTTATTTCGAAAAATTCTAAAATTTGGTTTGAAACCTCAAGAAATGCTGTTCTAATTTAATTATATATATATATA